CATCATTAACACATAAGGTACTGTACCATTAAAGTGTTTCCCAAGGGGCACCAGATGGCCTATCCTTTTGCACTTGCTTTAGGAAGTATGATACCATGTTGACACTTGATATCTTTCACTCAATACTAACAATGAATAATAAACATAATAAATTTATACTGCCTTCATTCTTCTCTTGTGCCAGAAAAATACGAAGGTAAGGTAAATCATCCTTGCCATAAGGCACATGCATGGAAAGGTTGTCAGAACCTCTTTCCAGCTGATGCAATTCACTCAACTCTTCTGAGGACTTGAGTGCATCTACATTTGTCAGTTTTGAGTCTGAGACTTCCTACAAGGCTTCCCTGTGCTCCTTAAAGGCCAAGAAAACTGATCTGAGAAGTCAAGAGAATACCCACATAATCACACAGAAAATCAGTAGTAGGGACAGAAATAAAATCTGGTAAATTTAAACAGCAGAGCAACTATTCTAGTGGTCTTAGAACAAACTCACACAAAAGCACAGCTTCTGGTCTTTTACTCAAGGAAGTGGGCTGAGAACAAAACAGCCACCTCAGTATCCTCAACAACTTCAAGATGTGGGACTGACATAGGGGGAGGAGCCTAAGAGGGTCCAGAGAAAACAACAGGGTGTGTGTGTACCCATGCATAGCTTTAACCCATAAAACCTCTAAAAAGGAGGATTTAGGAATTAGTCTAGCTAATGATTAGACATTTGGACTCAAGGGGCTGGAGAGATGGCTTAGGGGTTAAAAGCATGTACTGATCTTGCAGAAGACCAGAGTTTAGTTCCCAGCACCCATATGAGGCAGAGCACAACACCTGCAACTCCAGTCCCAGGGGGATGCCACCTCACGGACATTACTCCTCCTCGTGATGACAAATAAAACTGGACTCAGAAATCTGACAAATCCATATTCAAATTCTTCATTGTGTACTCCTAGTAAGGCAATTAACTCTTTGGAATTCCTCTATCTACAGGTGTCTAGTTGAGTTGGTCACAGTGAAGACAAACATAACATCTAACACACAGAAAAACATGCAACAAATGCTGGTCAAGAAAATGAGAATGAGGACTTCTAGAAAACGAGATTCAAAGCTGCCCTCAAGTCACCTCAAGTCAAAGCTTCTGGAACGTTGAGAAAAAGGCTAGGAGCACTGATAATGTGCTGTTTCTTTGTTTAAAAAGGCTTCCGGTTAGGGGATAAGATCCCGACTCTTTGGAGGGCTTAAAGCACCAACACAATAAGGTTTTGTCTACCTCAAGTCTTAAATATTCTCATTAATAGCTTATGCTGCTTAGTCTATCTGACGGGTCTCTACAGCTGCGATGTACTACTAGACACCGAGTTTCTCATGGACATCTCAAATATCTCTTGAGAAGTCGTCCATGACTTCCTTTCTAAAGGATCCAACTATCACATTACTTTGTCTTAATAGTTCTAAACTCAGAGGTCTCATTTACTTGTTCACAAACACAAGACAACTGCCACCCCTCCCCGGAAGTTCTATCTTTGAAAGGATCCCATCTCGCCACATTCAGTCAGTATACAAAAGGTGCCCAATTGACTTGTAAAATACACGAGGGGAGGACAGGTGTGCTATACCTCAAAAATCAGAGGGAGGCCTTAGTAATTTAGGATATAAGCCAATAGGGCAGTTAAAAAGCAGACAGAAAGAGCTCAGTAAGCTTCTTGTAGGATACTAAATTGGGGAAGATGCGGGGGCGTGGTGGGAGTGGCTGGTGCGGCAGATGACCGGGGTGAAGGGGAGGAAGGAAGAAAGACCCAGAGAACTAGATCAACACGAGGTCCAGGGCGCTGATGCGGGTGCAGGACGCCTGCAGGCCTGGAGGGGAAACAAGGGGCGGGTTCCTACCTCGCGCCTGCAGCAGTCGCAGCGCGCGCTCGTACAGCGCCGAAGCCTCGGCGTACTGGCCGTTGCGGAAACTCTGGTTGCCGGCAGCGCGGAGCTCTTCCACAGAGTCTGAGAGTTTGGGGGCCATCCCGGGAGGCCGCCAAAGAGGGACCACCTCCGTTCCCCGCTGAGTAGTGCGCAACAGCTTCCGGGTGGAAGCAGCGGATGCGTGCCCTTAAGGCCCGCAGCCGACAGGCCTGGGGGGTGGTGGTGGTGGTGATAGACGGGGTCGCGGCTAGGCGGCCAGGGACGGAAGGAAGCGGGGAATCAAGCCCTGGGAGGGCCTGGTGCGGCGGTTGGACGCGGGAAAGGGAAAACCAAGGAAGGCTGGGCCAACGTGAGGCCCGGTGCGGGGATGCGGGTAGAGGACGCAGGCCCGGAGGGAAACGTGGGGAGGGTTCCTACCTCGCGCCTGCAGCAGCCGCAGTGCGCGCTCGTACAGCGCAGAGGCCTCGCCGTACTGGCCATTGCGGAAGTTCTGGTTGCCGGCAGCGCGGAGCTGTTCCACTGACTCCGAGACTTTGGGGGCCATCCCGGGCGGGCTGGTAAACGGAGACCAAGGCGTTTCCCGACTAGTAGTGCGCAACAGCTTCCACCCGGAAGCTACAAAAGGCACACAGCTGACCGGCCTTGAGGGGCGGGGCCAGTCGGGGCGGGGCCAGTCGGGGCGGGGCCAGTCGGGGCGGGGCTAGGTGGCCAGGGGCGGGCGGAAGGGTGGGCTCAAGCCCTTAGGTAGGTCCGGCCGCTCTTCGTTATCTAGGGGCGGGGCTAGGAAAGGGCGGGGCTAAGAGGGTCGGAGGCGGGGACTTTGAGAAAAGAGGCCCGTTGCCTGTGTTCAGTCTGGAACTCGTGGTCAACAAGCCTGAAGGTGATGGCGCTCTATTGCTGAGGCGACAAGTGGCTGAATCACCGAAGGAGGCGGATTATTATTTCTCGTTGGGCCTGGGAAGCAATTAATACACGACCAAAAGAAGACGCACTTTTCGTCAAGATCTTAATACTTACAAAGAAGCAAAGAGCAGGCTGATGCAAATCTATGGAAGGCTAAGTAAGGCACCCTCGAGGACTGTATGGGATAGAGTGAACGTGATGAAAATTATCATACAAAAGAATACAATGCACTTAAAAAAAAGAAAGAGAAGTAACAAAATCCAAAGTTCAAGTCTGCAATTCTACCACTTAGGAGGCCAAGGCCGGTATAATGGAGCTCATGTTTTTTTTTTTTTTTTTTTTTTGGTTTTTCGAGACAGGGTTTCTCTGTGTAGTTCTGGCTGTCCTGGAACTCACTCTGTAGACCAGGCTGGCCTCGAACTCAGAAATCCGCCTGCCTCTGCCTCCCAAGTGCTGGGATTAAAGGCGTGCGCCACCACCGCCCGGCTGGAGCTCATGTTTTAAAACATAACCAAGAAAACACAATGATGTTATATGTGATAGGTTATTTCTTCGTTGCCGGTGAAATGAGCCAATTTCAGCCAGATTAGATTATATTAAAGGCAGGTTTATTGGGAAGCTGCTCTCGGGCAAGTTCACTGGTCCCAAAGGAGAAGGCCAGGGAAGTCGCCATGGGGGGGGGAGGGGAAGAGAAAGAAGGAGGGAGTTTATTTATTGATCGAAAAGGAGAAGAGCAAGAGCCCAACCAAAATGTCTGGATTAAAGTTCAGGGGTGGAGGCAGGGTATGGCAGGTAGGGGCTTAGGGATACTGGGAGAACCTGGAGATCCTGGGAAACCAAACAATAGGAAATAACCTTTCGGAGAATGTTAAACCTGAGCAGGCCACGGAAAGCCTCCGAGGGTGAGAGTTGAGCTGAAACCTAAGATGTAAGGAACAAGATTCCAGAGAGCTGAAAAGCACCTGGCATCTTGTAGACCATAAAACTTATTTAGTGGGTGAATACAGATGAATAATGATCTTCCACTGAAACTGGGTCTGGTGGTATACACTTTAATCTCAGCACTTAGGAGGTAGAGGCAGGTTGGGTTCTGAATTTGAGGCCAATCTGGTCTACATAGCATGTTCCAGGCCAGCCAGGGATATACAGATGCTGTCTCAAACAAACCCCTATAAACAACCCCCAAACTAAAAATAAAACCACCATGCCCCCTAAAAACAGAACTGTGAGGGCTCAGCGAAGGAACTACAGAAATCTGTGAGCTTTATTTTTATTTGCCAATAACCCTATAGTTCAGCTTGAACTGAGTCTAGACTGTCATTTTGGGCTAAGTCAGTGGGTCTGCCCGTTTTGGGGGTGTTCCAGGTTCAAAGGGAATCCCCAATCCCTCCTCCAAAAGGGCAGGCTTGTGTTGAATATTGAGAGGGTAAACAAAAGGATTGCTGGTGGATAGACCCAGTATTCCTCTAGAACCTGTTGGTTTCTGTCTACCAAAAGGAGCCACTCCTTTATCTTCCTTGCCTTGGCAAAGAAGACTTATGGCTATCTATTGAGACATAGCTGTGATTACATATCAAAGCCAAAGTTAACCTGCAGGCTCCTTGGGTCCCTAGTAACACGTATCTGTTATGGGTATCAAAGCCTCCTGGCCCTCACTGCCTCCACTATGCTCTCAGGCTGTTTCAGATTACAACTTGTTCACTCCCCTCCGCAGCAGTTACCCTACAGCAAGGTCCCGCTATTTTCTGTTATTTTCTCTGCCCAGAGATATAACCCTGGCCTTGGCCAGTCTGTTTTTTCTCTCTGTTCAGGAGTCTTTCACATGCTGTTCTCTCGCATCTACAATAAAACCTCCCCAGTCTTGGAGCAGATATTTCGGTGGTTTCTTTACTGCGCCCTAGCTTACAGAATGCTTGGGGTTTTTCCCTTTGGCCCTAACAAGAACTCAATTCTTATCAAGTCGATGCTTTGCTGAGAAATTGGGGAACCCTCAAGCAGTCAGTCCAAAGGCAAGTCAAGGAGAGGGTGTCGCTAACACTTCAGCCACTAGAGGCCGCCCGAGAGGCACCTCTTTGGTCTCTGACTTCTGTATCCGCCCGCCACTGTACCACGTGACTCACGCCGCTCAGCCCGGCCTCCTCTCGCTTCCGGTAGGGGCGGAAAGCGGAAGTGTGGGAGGGTTTGCGGGGCGTGCTCCCGGAGGATGGAGCATTGAGGCAGTCTGGGTGGCTGCCGGCAGCGCCATGGAGACCGTGCAGCTGAGGAACCCGCCGCGCAGGTGAGGGGCCGTAGCCTGAGAGGACGAGAGTTGGGTGGAGAGGAAAGGCACGAACTTGCTGAGGGTAGACCCCGGTTTGCAAGCTCCGGCCGGGCGGAGAGGGACCCGCGAGGCTAGCGACCCGGCTGCAGGAGCACCTGCTGAGTGAGGGAGCATCCGCTGGCCGGGACAGAAGTGGTTTGGGTTAGAGAGAGCACTCTCTGGGCAACGTGCGGACAAGTTAGGGAGATACCAGCAGAGGCCGGGAAAGGCGCCCCAAGAAGGCACACGGGGATGTAGGGGCAAACGCTGAGGCCGGGTGGGAGCGAGGACTTACTGAGAGGGTCCTGAGTACCACAGACCGTGCGGTGGAAAAGGGTCTGTTGCTTTGCTTCCGAGGCAGAAGTCGTTAGAAAAATTGATTGGAGGTCCCATGGCTAAGTAAGAGGTGGAGTGGGGATTTTGTGTCCTGGTGGTCCTGTCCAAAGTCATTGCTCCTAACTGCCTTACTGTGGAAGTACCAATGTTTCGTGGGTCTATTAATGGAGAGAGGGCTATGGGGGCTAGAGTTTTCAAGGGTTTTCAGAGTGTTAGCCCTATGTAGGATGATGTAGCGGTGGTGGTGGTAATGGCTTTTATTACTGATGTCCTGAGTGTCCGCTTACTTTTCTTCAAATCCTCCTCAGCCGTCCAACACCCAAAGTTGAGACGTCAATAAAGAAAAAAAAAAAATACCCGGGAGTAGGTAAGCTGAGGTCCAATAAACAAAGTCTAGACACAGTGGGTTCAGTCAGACTTTGTCCTTTTCAAATTCTGTTTCAGTACTCTCAGCTCCAGATTCTAGAAGTATCTAGAATTGTTTTGGGTCAAGATGATGGTGACTGACTTTAGGACGTCTCAACTCCTAAACTGGCTGTTGTTGTGTTGGACCACTCCCCCCTCACCTGGAGAAAAGAGCGTGGAGCCTGAGGGAGTCATGCTTCTCTCAGATACAGCTAGAAACTTGAGTTTCACAGAGAAGACATTTGACTTCCTGCAGCAGAAAGAGCACTAAAATAGGAAGTGTTCAGAGTAAGGGAGTGCCCGGCACCCCAGAGGTGAAGGGAGGGGATTGAAAGCCAGGCAGCACTCTTGAGGTGGGGATGGGGGTTATTGGAAACACACAAACATGGAATCAAATAATTGGCTTGTTGAGATGGGCTCAGGTTTGACTTGGTGTGGTGTGCTGAGGCTGTAAAAGCAATAATTATTAATTACAGCCAGAGAGGGCTTACAGGTTGGCAGGCACTGTCTTAATTGCTTTCCAGCTTGTCTGTTCAATCATACGAAATTGCTGGTGTTTGACCGCTTTTGAACTTGAAAAGGTACACCTTACTGACTCAACTGGCCTTCACAACTATCGTATAAGGAGGATGTCGTATTTTTACAGATGATAAAGCCAGGTCACAGAGAGGCAGGCCATTTGTTAGCCGCAGTATGTATGCAGTCAGTAACCACTAGACCCGTTCTTTTTCTTTGGTCCCTTTCCCCAAAAACCTTCATTTAATTAAAAGTTTTTTTTTTCCCCTTTGTGTTTGTTGATTGTGGACAGGGTGAATTTTTGTTTTGTTTTGACTTTGCTCATTTGTTGTTTATTTTTCTTTCTTCCTTCTTTCCTTTCTTCCTTTCTTTTTTTCTTTCTTCCCTCCCCCACCCCCCCATGGGCTTCTCTGTGTAAATATTCTGGTTGTCCTGGAGCTCACTCTGTAGACCAGGCTGGCCTCGAACTCACAGAGGTCCACCTGCCTTCACCTTCTGATTGCACCACCACAGCCCGGCGACTTTGTTTATTCTTACGCCTTTTGGATTTTAAGAACTGTAGTAAAGTGCAAGAGAGGAGTGTCGCAGGCTCGAGTCCTTGGATGATTGGTGCCGTCCTGTTCATTGTAACTAGTAGACTGCTGCATTTTATTATCAGAATTAACTGGCTCGGATTACTAAAACAAGCACCACACCTGGATGGTTTAAGCAACAGAAATTAATTTTTTTTTTTTTAGTTGCTATTTTGGAGGCTGGAAGTTTGAAATCAGATGTCTTTGGCTTACATACAGACGACCACCTTTCTCCCACCTCTCCATGTGGTCTTCGTTCATGTCTATGATCTCACCTCTTCCGCTTTCAAAGTCACCTATCTCCAGATGAAGTCTCATGTTCTGAGGTTCTCTGAGTTAGAATCTCAATATTCACATGAAGGAGGGGCGCAGTTAATTCAGTTACCCGTTTTGTTTATTTCGAGACAGGGTCTCACACAGTAGCTCAGGCTGTCCTCAAATGTATCACAATCCCGCAGCATCCGGCTGACTGCATCAGCCTCCTGAGTGCCGAGATTACAGGCAGAAGCCGCTGGACTTGACAACTTTGTTATTGGAGTGTTTTGGTTATCTTTTATAGTTGTAATCTGTGAAATTCTGTTAGAGGGATAAGTATGTGTACGTGCGTTGAGCCTCTGAGGGTTCTGACATGGGATAGTGGATTGAGAGACAGTCATCTGAGAGATCACTTCTTCACACCTTGTGTCTGGAAAACTACAGATGTCTTTTTGAGAGATTCGGATGGTGCGCATCCCAGCCAGTCTCAGTGCAGGAAATGCTGTCTACAGTCTTGAGCTTGACGTTTGTGTGTGACTCAGTGGCTAATGATGGATCGGAGTTAGTGATTTTAAAATGTAAGTCGCTGTTGGGTAATGGTGTAGGGTGCATTCCTGGGATGCTGGCCATTCCTGTGTCGGCTGACATAGGAGAGAAATGTCACCAATATTTGGTGTGTGTAATTGCATTGGCCAGGCCTAGTCATTATGAACAAATGAAAACTGACATAGGATGTCACCACTGTACGAACCTTGTCACTACCATTCACCAAAGTCAAGACTGTTTGGATGGTATAGTCCTCGTCCTTGAGGACTCAGTCACTTAGCAGATGTTTCATAGAAATTTATTTGTTGATAACCTACTAGTTAGCATCTCAGAAGAAATTTTATTTTCATGAGCCAGATGTGGTGGTGCACACTTTTAATTCCAGCATTCTTCTGGAAGGCAGAAGCAGATGAAACTCTGAGCTTGAAACCAACCTGTCTATAGAGCGAGTTCTAGGACAGCCAGTGCTACAGAGAGAAAACCCTGTCTCCTAAAAGAAAGAATGAAATTCTATTTTGATACCACGGAGAACACAGAGATTGCTATTCAAGGTTATGTGATTGCCACCCTTACATTGGTTTATCCATTCAGCAAATATTTTTCTGATCATCTCTTGTTTATTTGACACCAGAGATAATAAAGCTTCTTTTGAAGTGTTTTAAAAACTCTAGGTGCAAAACAAAACTCTCATGAAGGTTGTTTAAAGTTTGTCTGTCTGAGTGTTATCGAGTCTTGCAACTGTCTCTTAGGGTCCTGGCAGTTTCCTTTGTTGGTCTCTGAAATAGCAACTTTTTCTTTTATTAAACTCTTAAGAGTCAACACTTGAAAGGGAATCAGATCTTCCTTTATATAAGCTGTTTATAAGAGTTTATTCTCGATGAATGAGGCATTGTCCATTGTTTATACAGCCATGATTGGGAGTTTTACCAAAAACTCCCAGCATCTGAGCGGTTGGTTTTAACTTCTGAGTTCGTAGAACTATCACTTGTGAAGCCTACCTAAGAGGAGTTTCACTTCAGCACTTTTGTTTTGAAGCTGGGAGTTTTTATGACGTCAGTAGGATTTTAGTTCTAGGAGCGTTTGAATCTCTAAATGTCAGTGTGTTGGTTATCTTCAGGTCGGGGCATTACACTCTCTGTAGTTCTCCATTTCTTTGTGAAATTCTGCATGCTCGCACCTTTGAGGTCAGGGACTGTTGCTAGTTCTATTTCATGTAGTCAGGCTTTTATTTTATTTTTATTTTTAACTTTATATCCTTCTGATTTTTCTATTTTTATTTAAAGTAATTTCTTTTAAGAATTGGTATTGTTCAGATAGTTCAAGCGTTTTTTGCACAAGAAATTTATAGTGTGACTGCTTCCATATTACACCGTTTCCTGAAGCTGTCTTTGTTGTCTTTTGTAGTTTCAGGAAATCATTGTGTAGAAGACACACACACACACAAACACACAAACACAAGCACACACTCTCACACCCACATACACTGTCATACACACACGTACTCTCTCTATAGCAAACTCTTTCAGTCTGTTAATACGTTTTTTAAGAGGTCTCAGAGTTTTAAACATGAGTGTTGCTTTATAACCTCTCCAGTTGATTGTGAGTGTCAAGCACGGCTGCAGAGTTGGAGCTGTGTAGAAGTCGTGAGTGGCCCATTTGATTTTTGTACTTGTGAAAGGTCCATGGCTGATTGTGGTGGGGAGGGTCTTAGTGAGATTGTTTAAACTCCCTGTTGCCAAGTTAGTTTGTACTTTTGCTTCTGTATAAATGTCTCCTTTCAACTTCCTGTTTCTGTGTTACCTATAGAACTTAATTGGGTAGACAAGATGACCAAAACTTTCCCAATAGAGTTAAAAGGTCAGCTAGTCCAGTTCAGGCTTAAATATGCAGCGTTACTTACACACCTTTTTTTTTTTTTTTTTTTTTAAAAGAGATAGCTATGCCATTTAAACTCATAGGATAAATTTACATAATGTTTGACTCTGTGCTATAGCATTTCAGTCACATGATACTTTACTTTCCATAAGTTTTTCAACCATACAGAACTTGGCCTTCTCAAGGCAGTCTGTATCCCTCTAGGGCAGCTCATCTTATTAGAAGATTCATACAGATGTTGAACTGAAGTTTGATTCTATATGTTCTGGTCCAGAATGTGCTCATTGGGTGACCCGGCAAAAGTATCCCTTCCACAGAGCAGTCTGTTAATGTCCTTTAAAGGAGCCAGGAATGGTGGTGTACACCTATAATCCCAGCACATGAGAGGCTGAGGCAGGCGGATTGTGAGTTTGATGCTAATCTGAATTACAGTCTGATCCTGACTTAAACAAACAAAACAAACAAACAAAAAAAAAACCTCTTAGCTTGCCTTAACTAACTATTAGTTGCTAGTTGAGAAATTAGACTTCATAGAGCAATTCCTAGAATAGTAATCATAAAATACAGTGTTCTTTATTTTTTAGTTGCAAGTAAGACACATTTTGTGTTTATATCTTTTTCTCCACAGGCAGCTGAAAAAGTTGGATGAAGATAGCTTAACTAAACAGCCAGAAGAAGTGTTCGACGTCTTAGAGAAGCTTGGAGAAGGGTGAGTACAGACAAGCTACATCTGACCCGTGGGTCCCAGGCTTTCCCCAGCCTAGCAGCTGAAGCATGTGAATTTCTCATGGCGTGACACTCAAGCCTTCGGAAAAGAAAGAACATCATGTGTCAGCACGGTTCTAGGTGCTGGGGGAGGTGTATCTGCTTCTTGGAATGCCTGCCTGTGCATTCTTCACCCTTATCACTAAACAGATTTAGTGAACTCCAGGCTTTTTAATATTAAGTCATCTCTTGTTTTCTCTTACAGAATCTGTGATGCATATGGTTTTATATAATTAAAATGAAACACTAATTAGATTATAATTCATTTAGGTTTTAAAAAATCAGCCGGGATGGAGGCACACACCTTTAATTCCAGTATTTAGGAGGTAGAAGCAGGCAGATCTTTGTGAGCTTGAGGCAGATTTGCCCTACATAGCAGGTTCCAGGCCAGCTACATAGTGAGACCCTGTCTAAGTTAGACTTGGTCAGTTTTGTTTGTATGCTGTTCAGGATTTCTGCCTAGTATGTAATCGCTAGTCAGTAAAAAACAGGAAGTCAACATTTCTGTTGAGCTTTGTGATAAAGAGCAAGTAAACTGAGAACTGTTTGCATCTTCTCAGGAGATCCAGCATCCCAGTTGGGAACCAGTGGAGGCTCTGAAATGTGCCGCAGTGACTTTCAGTACTAGATGGTGGGCTGTGACTGACTTTCACTGACACAGTAGGGCATTATGTCAGCGTTTCTTACACTTCTACATATCATTGCAATTTAATTCTGTGTATTCATTCCTTCTGTAATGATCAGTGCATTAAAATGCCAGGGATACCTTAAGTGTTTAACCTTTGACTACGTAATAAGTTCATATGATTCAGAGATGGTTGATGCGTAAGTCAACAAGTGTGTGCTCTGTGTGAAATTTCAGTCTCTTCAGAATACCTTTGAATAGTGTCTGCCTTGACCATATGCTTTTTTTCTTCTCAGTGGTGCTGGGGATTGAACCCAGGGTCATGCGCATACCAGGCAAGTGCTCTGCCGGAGCAAAGCCTCCCCTTCTTTAGTATTATTCATAATTAACACAGATCTGTGGCAATAACAAATGCAAATCTGATTACATGGAATAGATTTTCATGGATTACCTCCTTATTAAAAACATGAGTCTTCAACTTTCTGTTAGTTGCAAAAGTACTCTTTGGGATCCATCAGAATCAAGCAGGGGAAGGAAAGAAGAGAGCATGAGTGGTGGCCCCATGACAAGCCCAAGATGGTGGAAGACTGCCAGCCAGACTGCTTCAGTAAAGGTATGAGACGGCAGAAGTCACTCTGTATCTCTTTCCTGCTATCTGTAGCTCTAGCTTGCCATTCTTGATATTCTGAAGGCAATTAGTCAATGTGCCTTCATTAAACAATGTTCACAGGTTATTTTTGGAATATGATATACATTTGTAGACATAATTGTATGTGTAACTAGCTGGGTTTTTTTATTTTTAATAAAAGCATGTTAGGGTAATGAAGTCATGCAGACCTGAGTTAAAAGTCTTAGTGTCCTGTTGATTAGTCACAGCAGGTGAGCTTATATATCTTGGAGCCTCATAACCTTTAACTATAAAGTGGGGAAAATAACAGTATCTATTACATGGTGTCATGGAAGAATTGCATGAAATAATAGAGAAGTACTGGGTACGGTGATTGTCACGCACTGAGTGCTCAGTAAGTCACAACTGTTGTTTTTGAGTGTATTAACTAAAGCATTTTTCAGACCTTATGTCAAATCAAAGCTAAAGCTTAACTCTTTAAGTACAGTTAGGTATTCTTAGCAGGGGTGCTTAATTTAGGAAATATCACAGTTATAGACAGAAAATGTCAGAAATGCCATGTTAGGAAAAAAGCAAGCTAACTGATTTTTTTTTTTTTTAATTGTGTTTAGATATGGATGTCTGCAACAAAGAACCTGGGAATGTCCCTCTAGAGATCCTTCCTCATGCTATCATCTCATTGAACTTTTAAATGGCACTGTTGACACTTGGATTTTTGCCATCGTGATGGAATGACTCTGAGCAAGTTTTATGGAACCAGCAAGATCCTGAAGGAAGACCTTACCTCTGCTTCTCTTCTAACGTGGATGCCACAGTGCCTTCAGATGTTCCTTCAGGGAAGGACTTCGATTTCCAATGACTTGAGAGTGTGTGCTCTCAAGAACCACATTGAGTTCTGCAGCTGTGGTCATGCTCTTTTGAAGAAATCCTGTGGCTCTGTGGCAGGGCAGAGTCACAGCTTGAGCCAAACTGAGTAGCGAGCACCTAGGGGGTTAGAATGGAGCCTTGCCTTCTGCTTCTGTCATTTCAGGTTTTATACATTGGCTCACTTAAGTGTCTCCATTTTCTCCCTTCAGTCTTAGAGCCTCATGGACTTAGACACGTGCTCTGTCACTGAGCTACATTCCTAGCCTTTGTTACGTTTTTATTATTAGATAATAGCACATTGTTCCCATAGTTTGATAGCTAATGAGTATTAAGGCGTGGAGTGCTGTGGAGAGCTTATCTGTGAAGAATGGTACTCCAATGAGAGCAGACTTCCAGAAGCAGTAGGCATGGGAAAACCGCAGTACGAGTGCTGAGGGAAGGAGTTCTGCAGCCAGCAAAACTCGCTCCAGCATGAAGCCAACGTGAAGAGATTCTTACACATATGCTCAGTCTAGTATTTCAAAAAGGCCTGTGGATGTCAGTTACAGAGTACCTGCTAGCAGTGGCTAACTACGGAGGCACGCACTGACAGCCTAATAAATCTTCTCCAAGTGGATAATTGACTTGACAGTGTTTGGTCTGGACAGTTCCTATGGTCACAAGATGGTTATGTTAGTTTCAAGTGTCATTACCCCTGATAGTCTCCAAAGCACGGCAGAAAGTGACAAGAGAAAATGGACAGCCTTGTTTGCTTGTCTTACCTGGGAAGAAAGTCTCGAGAATTCTAGCCATACACTGGCCAGATCTAGGTTAGATTCTTGCTGCAGGTTCATTCACCAGGAAGAGAAATGGCACAGCCTATCTTGATTTGTCCTAAATGGGGGTTATTTAAGCAAGGAAGGGAGGGCGCTGGCTGGGTCTTCCACACATGCTCAACAGTTGTTTTCTGTGATAAAACAGTATTTGAGGGTTCTTTGAGCGTCTTTATTCCTTTTTAAGTATAAGGGATTCAGATAGAAGCTTTTATGCGCTCTGCATTCATAGATATTTCTATTTTAAAGAAGTTTTTAAAATCTATTTTGACATTGAGATAATTTCTTCTTGGCAGTGACAAAGCTCTGTTATTTTGACATCTTAGGCCACATTCTTTATTTTGATTTTTTCTTCATTAAGATAGCATGTAGAATCAGGTGTGTTTGTGAAATTAATTCTTTTTGGTTTTTCGGTTTTTTTTGAGACAAGGTTTCTCTGTGTAGCCCTGGCTATCTTGGAACTCCCTCTGTAGACCAGGCTGGTCCTGATCTTACAGAGATCTGCCTGCCTCAGCCTCCCAAGTGCTGGAATTAAAGTTGTGTGCCACCACCACCCAGCATGTTTGGGAAATTTAAAAGATGATTTTCTCTTATCACTGAGAGCTGCCCAGGGTCTGTAAAGTTCCTGCATATTTCTCATAAACACCATAGCTGTTTGTTAAGGGAGTTTGTGTTTGGTTGTTGTCATCTTGTGAAGAAGCCAGTTGAGGCACAAGGAGCTAACTCAGGTTATGATAGTGTGTCGGCAGTGGGTAGTGGTCTGCTGTCCTCAGATTCTAAACGTCATGTCCTTGGAGCACCTAGATTGAATGAACACACAACCTTGGTTTTGATAAGCTTTTCGGGGAAGATGAAATGCAAGGCAAAAAGATTTGAATGTGCACTGTTCTGATTCTGGCACAAAAGAGACTTGGGTTTTCATGAGATTGTGTATTTTAAGCCTTGCAGCATGTGAGAGGAATAAGGCCAGAGAGACGTAATAGAGTGGTCATAGGAAAGCACACACATGTACTGTGTTGCTGTGGAGAGAGAACGAGCACCACGTGTGTTCAGGCTGCATGGGTTCAGATCATAAGCTCTTGACTTACGTGACCTGGGTCATTTATGTGATTGTGCCACACCTGGTCTTGCGTCCCGGTGCTCTGGCTTTATGAACGGTCTCCTTCCCCCCAATGCAGGTCTTATGGCAGTGTGTACAAGGCTATTCATAAGGAGACTGGCCAGATTGTTGCTATCAAGCAAGTGCCTGTGGAATCGGACCTGCAGGAGATAATCAAAGAAATCTCCATAATGCAGCAGTGTGACAGGTAAAGCACGTGGGGTCCTTGACAGAATAAGCCTCTGTATCTGCTGGGATTGTTCAGATTGACACCTACAGAGTGATTACTGAGATGGTCTCAGGAGGGCGGGGTCAGGGGAGTCACTATGCATGTTCTTTCTGAAAAGTATGAGAAAGCGTGTATGTTTTAGTAGATAATTTCCATTTTTGTATTTTTTCCTTCATCAATCATACCTTTAAGAGACCAGGAAGAAGAGGCAGAGGGTGGTACTGACTTTCTTTCTATTTTTTTCTCTCATAATGCTGTCTCTTACTTCCTATTGCACAGATAGCTAAGATAAATCAAATACTTTTTAGCTCGAGAAACCATAGAATAGCAGATTGGTGTATTAAAAGAGAATATGTGCTTAGGTACTAGATGTTTCTTTTTTGCCGTTAAGAATGGTTCCAGTCAAGAGTACTTAAGTGTCTTATTTTTGAGGAACTAAGATTTGTCAAGCTTTAAGCAGGAAGTTGGCCCCAAAGTCAACCACAGAAGAGCACGTGATCTGCTCTGAGGTTCCATGACAACATGCTGGTGGACGGAGCAGGCATAAGGCGGCAGCACTGTTAGACATGCGAGTGGGCGGCAGCACTGTTAGACATGCGAGTGCAGTAGCAGTAAGGGCCGTGCCAGGTCCGGGGTCGGGAGAGCAGGCGAGGAGGTTTGCACCGAAGGCATTGCCTGTTGGTCCGAGGCCAGTTGGGTCAGATCAGTCTATTGCCTCCTGTTGTCAGGCTTCAGTGGTAGACTGTGGGGGAGTGCGCCTTGTTATTTTGTAGCGACCTCAGGTCTCCCTGTCTTTGAAGTACAGCTGCGGCTCTGCTTCCTCCTGCTTTATTTTTCATTTTGTGATTATGTCTACTATACAAACACCTGCACTCCCACAAACCCACAGCTGGCTTGGTGGAATTAAGTTAGCAGCTTTTCTTCTTGTCCACATGAGTCACTTACTCGAACTCTTTAGTTGCCAAATGGGGACTGTATCTAGACAGTATGGAAATGCTTCTAACTAATGATTTGATTTTTAAAGATTTATTTATTTTTACTTCTTATGTGTATGCCTGCATGTATGTATGCGGCCCACATATGATCGAAGCCTGTGGAAGCTAGCAGATGGTATCAAATCCCTTGGAATTGACTTATGGACAGTTGCGAGCTGCCATGTGGGCGCTGGGATCTGAACCTGGGTCCTCTGCAAGAGCATCACGTGCTAAGAAATGATGTTTGAAGAGCCTCTGTGTTAAACTTGTGACTTTCTTTTTTTTTTTTAAAGACAGGGCAGAATCTTTGTGTCCTGGGAGCTTTGTTTGCTTGCTTCTTTGTTATATTTTTATGTCATTCACTGTCTTTTCAGGAAAGGGAGGGTTTAGGGCATTTACCTGGCTTACTAGGAAAAGCAGCTGGAGTAAGAGTGTCAGTAAGTTCTCTCTGTTTTCTGCGAGGTCACAGCCTAAGCATGAACAGTGCAGGAAATCCTAGCCGGCAGTACAAGACTGCACAGATCTTATCCCAGCAGTGTGCTTGCACAATAGAGTAAGTGCCTGCAGGAGGAGAGGGAGCAGAGCACCCGGATTGTAACCTCGGGTGCTCAGTTACCTGTGCTTTCAACAATACTCATTTTTTGTGCGGTGTTTTCTTTGCCACTGGCATATGTCCCAAGGACGAAGGGGCGTTTGAAATTGAAAGTCAAGGAAGCCAGGAGAGTCTTAGCATCTTTTGTTGCTATGCAACCGGTCTTTCAAAGTAGTCCAGCTGTTAATGGCACAGTTGTTGAGACAGATTGTTCATTTTCCTGAGATGCTTGATTTCTCACATATTTCTTACTTTGGTGTCTCTCATCAAATTTAAGACCCAAGGTTCCAGATTTGATGCTAAGTAGTCTTTATACTATAAAGCGATGATTTTGTTACTCCAAATTACATCATGACTTTTGGAAAAGAAGAGAAGGAAAAAAGATTATTTTTCATGATAGTTATGTATCCCTTGATATATCTGTCTGTCCTGTCTCATTGGGGGTTTACTGACTGTTTGCTCTACTGTTTTATAGCTTACCTTCCCCTCTCTTATGCTGCTTTTTTAAATTTAAACTTCATGTCTGTGTACCACTTGCATGCCTGTTGCTAGAGGCCAGAAGAGGGCATCAGGTCCCAGGAACTGGAGTTACAGACAGTTATGAGCCACCATGTGGTGCTGGGAACCAAAACCAGGTCCTCTAGAAATGCGAATGCTCTTAACAGCTGATCTAATCCCAGGATATGTTAACACTATTTATTGACCATTCCTCTAACATGGTCCATGGACCTGTGGTGTTTAGTATGTAGTATGGCATTATTTCTTACCTTCCCTCATGTTGCCTGGTCACGTACCTCATGTCTCTTTTTTCAGTTCTGTGCTCATAGCGAATGTTTTGAGAATCTGTGATTCTTTTCTGAAGACAAGTTATACACTTGGAAATATTGTTCTCTTGCTTTGAATGTGTATATTACTCTTAGGAAGAGCTGTCCTTTGTCTTCTTATCAAGAGATTGCTTCTGTTAGTCCTAACTAGAAATGATTCTTTTTTATGAAATGAGAAGTGACTTTCCATGCATTGAACAGAATGAATTCAGATGTTTGAAGAACATGCCACTAAATCGTACTGTGTCTCTTTCCAGCCCTCATGTAGTCAAATATTATGGCAGCTACTTTAAGAACACAGACCTGTGGATTGTGATGGAGTACTGTGGGGCTGGCTCTGTATCTGATATCATTCGGCTACGAAACAAGACGGTAAGTTTACCTGCTAGGTGCTGCTGCGGGAGCGCAGTCTCGCCAGCTTTCTCTGGCCTTTGTGTGTGTGTGTGTGTGCGTGGGTGTGTATGTGTGTGTGTTTCTACTCAGGGAGGAATGACTGTCATTTCCACTTTTCCTTGGTCTCTACTGTCTTTTACTCATCTCCCCCACCTCAAACAGGGGTAGTCCCAGTGTGATCTCTTACCTTTGATCCTCTGGTCCAGCCGAGTGCTAGGTCACAGGGATCAGCCACCTTGCTCAGTTCCTGTCTAAACGTGGCAGCTTGATGCCGACTTGTTCCAACGATTTGTGTTTATTCGGCGAAACAGTTTTCAAATCATGGTTTGGGATGAATTCTCATTTTTTAATACAGGATTTCATGGGGGCCTTGAACTCACACTCCTCCTGTGAGTTCTTCTTACCATGTCCGGCTGCTGTAGAATGACTTTTAAACATACTTGATCTTTTAAAGGTTCTGTGTCTCTGTGTGGGTTTGCACATGTGAGTACAGGCACCCACAGAGGCCAGGCTTCTCTACCCTGCATCAGGATTTACAGGCAGTGTATGAGCCACACATTGTGGGAATGAAGCCAAGGACTTCTACAAGAGCAGAGTGCTCTCCTAACTGCTGAGTCATCTCTTCAGCTTCTAGAATGAGTTTCAAATGTTGACTTTTGGATTTGAATTTGTCCTCTTACCCACTATGTCTAGGATGGCTTCTACTTGCTGTTGGACAGGGAATAAAACTGTTGTAAAAATTATTTATGCCTAAGATTCCAGGATCTGACCTAAGAGTCATGGATTCTAGTTCTCAGTTGCAGAACAGTGCTGGTGGCATTAGGGGTCCAGAAGTGGGTAAAAGAGCACAGCATATGGTGCCTTGTGCTCTCTGGTAGCACACCTTCTAGTACAGAAATGAAAAGAAAACAGGCCGCAACTAGGAAGAAAGTGCCAGGTAATGAGAAATACTTAAAAAAAAAATTAATAAGGCTGGTGTCTTAGCATTTTATTGCTGTGAAGAGACGCCATGACCACAGTAGCGCCTCTAAAGGAAACATTTAATTGGGGCTAGCTTACAGTGTTAGAGGTTTAGTCCATCAGCATCATGGTGGGAAGTGTGGTGCCACACAGGTAGACATGATGCTGGAGTGGTAACAGAGTTCTACATCTTGATCTGCAGGCAGCAGGAGACCGTGTGCCACGCTGGGTGTAACTTGAGCACAGGAGACCTCAAAGCCCGTCTCCACAGTGACATACTTTCTCCAGCAAGGCCACACCTCCAAATAATGCCACTCCCCATGGGCCAAGCATTCAAACACATGGTTCTGTGGGTGCCATTCCTATCCAAACCACTACAGATGGTGATGGAAAAGTGGTAAAGAGCCTTGGTAGGCAGAGCAGTAGGAGTGAAGGGACTCTGCAGGTAGGACCCAGCCAGCGTGAAGGCCCCAGACTCTGTGTGCTTGCTATATTTGCTGTTAGAAGTGCAGCCACTGAGACAGGGGAGGTCAGGCTAGAGAGGTGGGCAGGTTTGATGGTGTTGGATCTTGTAGGGCATGGTGTTGTGGCTGAGTTTTAGTCGAGGTGCAGAGGGAAATGTCTAGGCTCTAAAAAGCTAAGTGAGTCAAGTGCCACACAGTTTGAAGACCAAGCCTAGTTGCTCTGTAGACTGTCGGAATGGGCATGTTTGTCTTTGGCTGTAGGAATGGGAGTGAGCGTCTCTATAAGCATTTGCAATGCCGTAAAGATGAACTTAAGCATGCAGAAGTATTCTATCACTGTTTCCCTTTCTTAATTTACATTATTGAAAATTTGTATGTTTTCTTGATTAGACAGTAAGTTCTTTATCCAAGAATAGTGTTGACATAAAATTTGTGTGTGTACATACAAACATATATGAATGTAACAATAATTAATGAAAAAAGAGGCCATGAATCTGAAGGAGAGCGGGGAGGGGGTACATGGGAGGCTTGGGAAGGGGGAGATGACATAATTATAATCTCAAAAAATGGAATAAATAGTTAAAAAGAAGCCCAAGCGGGCGGTGGTGGCGCACGCCTTTAATCCCAGCACTTGGGAGGCAGAGGCAGGCGGATTTCTGAGTTCGAGGCCAGCCTGGTCTACAGAGTGAGTTCCAGGACAGCCAGGGCTACACAGAGAAACCCTGTCTCGAAAAACCAAAAAAAAAAAAAAGGCTGAATAAGTCAATGACTTGTTGATTTAAAATGGAAGCCCTGGGACTGGAGAGCACTGGCTGCTCTTCCAGAGGACTCTGGTTCAATTCCCAGCACCCACATGGTGGCTCACAACTGTCTGTAACTCTAGTTCCAGTAAGTCTGACATCCTCAGACACACAGACATACATGTAGAAAAAACACCAGTGCCTGAAAAACAAAAATAAATCATCAAAAAATACTTAAAAAAATAAATAAAGTTGCAGCCCCAGGGCTTTGTGTTCAGCACAGAGTTGTTCCTGGCACCTCAGCAGTCCAGAATTAACTCTGATGGCAGTTTCTGAATCTAATGATAGCTTAATACTAGTTTATTAGTCTATGTGATTTAATTATTTTGTTGTGTGTTATATAAAAAACATTTAGTGTGACCACTGCCAGCTACAGATGACTAGAAGTATTGTTTAAATTTGAAGAAGTGTGACCACAGAAAGATATAAAAAGTCAGTATTTCTCATGATAGAATCAGTCTTCAAAAAAGAAGAAGATTACGGTAGACTGATGGTACTGTTGTACTACGTGAGCTTACCCAGGCTGAAACCACAGACTCTGCTTGCTCTCTTGGCCGTGGGTCCGTTCTGATGTGGATCTCAGCCTCTCATGTTTCATAAATGCTGTCTACATGGGGGTGGGGAGGACAGATGCCAGGAAACTAGAAAGGGGCCCACATGAGGTGGGAAATAGTTTACTTTAAGCAGAAAATTACCCTGTCACTAAATCTCAGTAGATGGCAGCCATATTTAACGCCTAAAGTCCTGGTTGATTGGATTACGATCTGACCACCTGTGAGGTGTTTTCGATTCCTGTGGGAGTTGCTGTTGGGGTTCACTTGCAGGTGCGTTTCCCCTCTGAGCGTTAATGCTGCTGATAGTGTGCTGGTCGGTCTGTCGTTTCTACACACTGACTGCTTCCTCTGAGTTTCAGTGTGCCCTCGTTTTGATGACTTCTCTCCTTCATAGTCCTCATTCAGCAATTGCAAATCTTAGAATAGCAGTAAAAGAAAGTAGTGCCTCCAGTGCAGGCCGGTCCCCTTGTCCACAGCTTACCCCCAGATGTGAGCTGCGGGAGGGTTTGACGGGATCTGTTTAGGACTAGGGTGTGCTCAGAGGCCCCTGCCAGCCTCCAGCACTGTCTGTCCAGAGCGGCTTCAGTTCCCACTCTGGATACCAGGGCTATAGGAGCAAGCAATAAAAGACAGCTTTTAATGCAGTGTGTATCTGTAATGAGCAAGACAGCATCGTATCTCAGGCTGTCTCTAAGCTGACAAGGTAAGAGAAGGGAACAGAGAATGACCCAGGCGTGGAGAAGGAAAGGCCTCTGCTGTCCTGACGAGTGACATTTGGGCAGACTGGGGAAAGCCTGCGGTACAGATGTACGGAGAGAGAGCCTTAGAGGTAGGTAGAACAGGCAGGTGCGAGGAGCTCGGAGTTCACAGTTAGCAGTTCTCAGGGAACAGGCAGGACACAGCAAGGCTGAAGCAGCTGTGTGTGAGTTTTGGTCTTTTCTCTTTTCTCCTGTGTGATGTTAACAGGGTTGAGACTTCTTACTGTTTTTTGTTTTTCAGTTAACAGAAGATGAAATAGCTACAATATTACAATCAACTCTTAAGGGACTAGAATACCTCCATTTTATGAGAAAAATACACCGAGATATCAAGGCCGGAAATATTTTGCTAAACACAGAAGGTCACGCAAAGCTTGCAGACTTTGGAGTCGCAGGTCAACTTACAGTAAGTGAAAATAGTGACTGGTACCAGTACTTTAGGCTGTGTCCCGAGAAGCCAGTTCTAATAAGTGATTTTATTTGTGTGTGTGTGTGTGTGCACGCCTGTCGGCTCGTGTGCACGCCTGCCGGCTCGTGTGCACGCCTGCCGGGTCGTGTGCACATTGTGTGCTGTTGAAGCCAGCTTACGTTGATTGTGGTGGTGGTTCTCCACCTTACTTTCTGAGACACTGTCCTTCACTGACCCAGAGGTCAGTGAGTCATATAGGCCGGCTGGCTAGTGAGCGCCAGGAGTCCGTCTGTCTGCCCAGCAGTCAGGGGTTACAGGCTCATGCTGTAGCATCCTGCATTGTGTGGGGCTGGAGAACTGTAGTCAGCCTCTCAGGGATACATGGCAGATGCTTTGCTGACATCACTCCATCCCTACTTTCTCATTTTTTAAAAATATAATACTTGGTTTAATTTTGTTAGTAGAAATTTGTAGAATTTACAAGTGCATTATCATAGAGCTAATAGGAATTTTAGATTTTTTTTCTGGGATTCAGGTTCCATGGTTCAATCTTTGTATAGAAATGAAAACTAACATAAGAAATGAGCCTTAGTTTAACTCTGGTATATCAGAGATAAAAGCTTGATTAAACCAGGCTGCTCTTCTCCAGCAAGGCAGAGACCCTCCTTTCAGCTTCCAAGCAACTCCGCTGGAAGCGCCCCTCCTACTTCAGGGTTGGCTCTTGATTTCCCGCCTGTCTCCGCAGTGCTTGCCAGTGAGAAGGAAAACTGTTCAAAATGGGGAGGGGGGTGGCTAGAATTAATCTGGTTTTGTAAAATAACCACTGAATGTGAAAGTCTGTAGGACAATGGAAACAGTTCTGAGGATAAACATTGAATTCCCAACAATTGTGCCAAGGGTTTTCCCGATCAGTACAGTGTACACTGGGTTCCCCTCCCCACTTCTCCACAGCTACAGACTTTTTGTTTTGTTTAGAACAAGGTTTCACTCTGTAGCCCTGGTTGGTCTGGAACTCAGTATGTAGACCAGGCTGGCCTTGATAGAAATCTGCCTGCCTCTGCCTCTGCCTCCCGAATGCTGAGATTAAAGGTGCATGCCACCATGCCTATCTGACTTTTTAATTTTAGGCAATGTCCGATTTCTTGTTTCTTTGGCTGCTCATGCTTCTGGTGCTTTGTGTAACTCAGAAATCATGACCTTACACAAGGTAGTCCATGTGTTTCGTGGTCTCAGCTCGAACATTTGCTTTGAGATCTGAGTTAATTTTCATGCTGAGAGGTAGGTATCCAGATACATTCTTTTGTGTATTGGTAACTGGTATTGATCATTTATTTCAATGACTTGTTGGTAAGCCTTTGGCTCTCTTCTGTTGAGTTATGTATTGGTACTTGCTGAAAATCAAGTATGGTGTACCTCTGGACTGGGCTTGTCTTCTGTTGGCCTGCACGTAGGCCATTGTGTTGCTGCTCCACTGTTGACTTTTACGCTGGATGTGAGGCCTTTCAGTTTGTTCTCATCTTTCAGGATTGGTTTGGCTCTCCTGGGACCTTGCATTTCTCCTGAGTTTTGAATTAGTAGGTTAGTTTTGCAAAAGAGATCGTTGGCATTTTGGTAGACGCTGTGTTGCGTCATGGGTCAGTTTTGAAATATCACCCTGTTAGGATTAAGCCCTGTAAGCCATGGACCTAGGACGATTTTTTTGCTTACTTTGATCTTTTATTTTTCACCGATGTTAAATTGTTTGCACAGTGCATATTTTTTATTAATGTGGTTAGTTCATTCTTCAGTGATTCCTTTTTGATGCTATTCTAAGTAGAACAGTTTTCAAATTATGTTTCTGTCCTTCAGTGTCACTGAGCTTGTTGTTTATTGCTAGTTTTAATTTTTAAAAAGTGTATGTGTATGGGCTGGAGAGATGGCTCAGCGGTTAAGAGCACTGACTGCTCTTCCAGAGGTCCTGAGTTCAATTCCTAGCAACCACATGGTGGCTCACAACCATCTGTAATGGGATCTGATGCCCTCTTCTGGTGTCTGAAGACAGCAACAGTGTACTCATATGCATAAATAATATAATAAATTTATAAAAAAAACTTATAAAAAGTGTGAGTGTGTGTGTGTGTGTGATTGTAGTGTGGATGCCTGCATGCCGTGGTGAGGTATGCATATGAGGTTCCACCTTGTTTGATGTTTGAGACAGGGCGTTTTTCGTGGTGCAGATTCCAGAAGTTCTCCTGTATTCCACCTCCCATCTCCTAGGGGATATGTAAGATTACAGATTGGCTATCAAGCCTGTCTTTCACTGGGTTAGATGTCAGCATTAGAGATGTCAGATCCATGTGGGGTTGGAACTATAGGCTTTTGTGGTCACCTAATGTGGGTGTTGGGAGCCAAACTCGGTCCTGTGACAGAGTAAGAAGTGCTCTCAGTCACCGAGCACTCCTCTAGCCATCTTTACTTTATAGACATTTCTTTATTTTTGCAAGAGGGTTTTGCAGTATAGCTTTAGCTAGCTTGGAACTGTTAGTCCCCTTGCTTTAGCCTTCAGCTTCAGGCTGGCATTCGATGCCTGTGCCATGATGCCTGCTTTCTAATTCCTTCTATAGAATCTTTGAAGCCAGCATTGCTGTTCTGATGTCCACTTGTGGTACCTTCTCAATGCCAGCCGTCTCTAAGCCATTTGGAAGTTTTTATGTTGCAATTAGGTTGTTCCTCAGTTTCCCCGGTGACTGCTCCAGGACTCATTCCACTCCATCACTGTTCAGCCTGCCATCTGCTTCCAGCTTTCAGAATGTTTTGGCTTTACTTTGCATTTTTAGATGGTTTGGGGAAGAAGTGAAAGTAAGATCTGTTTGTCCAGTCTGTCATCTTTAGCAGAAATCTGTAATTAGTTTCTTTTTCTGTCTTGGAGACAGTCTTCTGTAGCCCAGGCTGGTGTTAGACTCCATCCCTCTGCCTCAGCCTCCTGGGTTAACAGCACATGACTGTGTCTCAGGTTCAGTTTTTGATGCAGCTTGGATTTTCATGTGTGAGTGTGCTGTTGCACACTGGGTGCTCACTGACCTTGTTTTTAAGTTCCTGCAGCCACGAGTGTGTTGGTAGATGTGTGGTAAACATCAGGAGGCTGACATTTTTTAGTGTGTATTTGATTTTTGTCCTTAGGATAATCTCCCCCTCATGTTGTAGCAGAGGCTGGCCTGGAATTCACTGTGTAGCTTGGTCTTGAAGCCTCCATCTGCAGAGGGTGCTTGGATTACAAGTGTGAACTAAGGACCGGCTAGGCAGGCTCAGATTCAATCATTCGTTCATTCATTCATTCTCTCCACCCCCTCCCCCCACATCTCTCTCATATCTCTTAAATTTGTATTTTAAAGTTTTAGTTTTGTGTGTGGGGTGCAGAAGAGGGCTTGGATCTCTTGGAGCTGGAGTTATAGGTGGTTGTGAGCCATTCCACATGGGTGTTGGGAACCAAATTCAGGTCCTCCAGAAGGCTAGGGAGTACTCTTAACCACCGAGCTGTCTTGCTTGCCCTTTGGTTTCTAAATTTTTTTTTTAGGAAAAAAAAAATCAATCAATCTCTCTCTCTGTCTCTGTCTCTGTCTGCTCCCCCCCCACCTCCCTCTCACTCTCTCTCTTTCTCTCATTCTGGATTTTTGTCTTTGGTGTTCTGTTCCAGCATCATATACCAGTTCATCTATACTTCAATATTCTTCTGGGTTTTGTTTTCTATATTTGAGAATTACCCTATTTGAATTTATTTTGGTGAAAGTATAAGATAGAATTTAAGTTTAGAGTTTTATGCGTTACTACCTAGATTTTAGTTTGTTCTTTCTTCTCTCCTTCCTCCTGCTGGTTCTCCTCCTCTTCTGAGACAGGGTATCTTTACATAGTACTGGCTGGCCTAGAGCTTTGATATAAACTAGGTTGGCCTTGAACTCAGAGAAATCTACCTGCCTCTAGCTCCAAATGCTGGGGTTAAAGGTGTTTGCCACTACCCTTGGCCAGTGCTTTGTAGCTTGGGGCTATTCTGTCCTTAGCATGCTAGTTTGAAAGTATGTTAAATTGTCTGTCTGGCATATAGAGCTGGCTGACTCTGCTTATATAGTTACGTGAGTCAGTCTCTGGCTTTAACACCTTCTGTTGCTCTGTTGTACTTAGTAACTGTAACTAATTGGAGTTTAGGATACACTGGTTACTTATTCTCAAAACACTTTCCTTTGTGTGAGTATCCATTTCTGGTTTAAATAATCTAGTAAAAACAACTTTGGGTACCCGGTTTGAAAGCATGCTGGCAAGTTTGAGGTTTCGGCTAAGGAAATGATTAAGCCCGAGTTGTTTCCTTTGCTGTTTTTTTGTTTTTAATTTGGTGCACAGTGTGAACTTAGTCCCGGAAGTGCCACCTGTCATTGCTCCCAACTGACATAACCTAAGTCACAGGCACTTCAGGAGTATGGGAGCAGGGATGGGAGACTCAGCTGCACTTTTGCTGTGTTTGCAGGTTTTCTCCCTAACTGCGCATCAGCGGTAGCAAGGCTCTGGGAAAGTGTGCATCTGCTTATTAGTGTAGCAGAACCACACACCCTGCTTCAAACCACAGGGGAAACTTGGGACCATGTTTATATGTCAGCTTAAAGGTGATTTTTCTGATTGCACATATAAACCAAGGGAGGGCTCCCTAAGGCTGTGACATGGAAAACAAATGAGTGTAGTTCTGCCTTCTAGCTGTGACCATTCCCAACAGTGCTTTTCACTCTAGGCTGCTCTTCTGCTATACCAGTGGCGTTTCTGTTGACTGGTTGTTGCATTGTCTTGACTATTGTTTTGCTTTCACAAAAATGAAGCTGTATTCTTCATTATTTTGTAACTATTTTTTGGTGTTGCAAGAGCTTACACATATCCCATACCTGCTTTCAGTTGAAATAGGGGCTGGCTAGCCTCAAAATCAAGATCCTTTTGCTTGTATCTCATGTGCATAGGCTGGAGGTGGGTGTTCACTCTGCTTCCCTCTTCAGAGAATTTTTAATGTGATATTTCAGTATATAAATATCTAGTGTAATATTTATTATTATTATTATTATTATTATTATTATTATTTGTGTGTGTGTGTGTGTGTGTGTGTGTGTGTGAGAGAGAGAGAGAGAGAGAGAGAGCAGGATTTTCTTATTAGGTATCCCTGGCTGCCCTGAAACTTGCTATGTAGGTCAGAATGGCCTAGAAAGCGTGCACAAAGATCCATTTGCCTCTGCCTCTTGGGTACTGGGATTAAAGGCTGGTCTTACTTATTTATGGTTTTGAGTCTAGGTTTCATTCTAGGTTCCCTGCCATTCTGAAGCTCACTGTGCAGTCCAGGCTGGTCCTGAATTCTCTGTGATCTTCTTACCTCAGCTCCCTGAGGACTCAGGTTACAAGTGGTAGGCACCTGTGTGGTGGTTTTTAAAAAATTGTTTATTATTATTATTATGTAACTCAGGTTACAGTTCTTAGGTGATTGACAATTGTTTATTGAGATAGAATACCACAATATTGTCTCTCTGATCTTGAGCACTGTTGTTCAGGTGGCCTCCCAAGGAGCTGAGGTGTAGGACCTCTGCTTGGTAGCCCCTAATCACACATATTCTACTCTTGCATGTATGTTTCGGGGTACTTGCATGTAAAATAAATGTCTAGAAACATACTTAGATAGAGAGATAAAAATATTTAAAAGTTTACTAAATATTACCAGTTGGTGAGGTTGTGCTGCCTCATATTCCAGTGATCTTATGTTTTGGTCGCTGATTTCCTGCTTTTTTTATTAGTACTGGTTTAAATTTTTAAAACTTTAATAATTTTATATTTTAATAATTGAAAATCTTTACAGTTCTTGACCATTTGAATTTCTTTAGCGACTCATCTCATTATGCCTTGAATATTGTTTTTAGATGTTTCAAGTCCAAGGAATTGTTTTTCTTTTTAAAATGTTTTTTTTATTCCTTGAAAATTTTATACAATATATTTTAGTCATATTTTTCCCCTTTCTAGGTCCTCCCCCAACTCCTTCCCACCCAACTACATTTGTTGTTGTTGTTGTTAGTTGCTTTTTTTTTTCTTAAAGAAAACAAAGAAAAGAGAACAGGGAGCCCAGCTTACATTGGCCAGTTCCTCCTGAGCATGAGGCCTGCCCTGGAGTAGGGATGATGTTCTCAGTGACACTTCTAAAGAAATCAGATTTTCCATCTCCCAGCAGCTGTCACTTGCAAATAGCTTCTTGGCTGGGGTTGGGACATTGCCCCAGCTCTCTGCATGTTGTCCAGTTGGAGTGAGTCTCTGTTAATTGCAGAAACTTCTTTGGTAATGACTGAGTGATGCTGATCTGTGGGTGTGTGTGTCATGAGGAGTTGTATTACTGCTGAAGTTGTATTTTGCAGAATAAAAGAAGCAAGTTTCCCTCAGGGCTGACCACCTAGTCTCAGGTTCTTGGACTCATTAACAGCATGAGCAATGGACTCCATCCCACAGAGGGAGCCTTAATGTAGTCTAAGCAAAGAGTGATTGGCTAGTCTCACATCCGCGCCACCTTTTACCACTCAACGTAAACAAGCAGTTTTTAATTGTTTGAACCGTTCGTTCTTCTTTCTCAGGCTTCATGATTCGTGTTGGTCTCTCCCCTTCCCCTTTAGGATACCATGGCAAAGAGGAATACAGTGATAGGAACGCCATTTTGGATGGCTCCTGAAGTTATCCAGGAGATTGGGTACAACTGCGTGGCAGACATCTGGTCTCTGGGAATAACTGCCATAGAAATGGCTGAAGGAAAGCCCCCGTATGCTGATATCCATCCAATGAGGGTAAGGAAGCAGAAAGCCAGCTGGATGGTTAGCTACTGGTTATCAGTAGAAAGTTATGTGGTGACTTCCTTGGTTATATTCCAAACAGGAAATGAACTCATTTTATATAATGATAAATACTTACTGTAGGTGATATTCTTCCCCTGGCATTAGATGTAGTAAAAAATTAATTGAATTCCTTTCTCCATTCTAGAACGTGTGTCTCCTTGAAGGACATAGGCTATAGAATATAGAAATGTGTAGGTTGACTTACAAATTAGATACATTATATATATCTTTTACTAGCTAATGTACCACATTTTTAGCTTTGTAAATATATGGACTTTCTACTTAATCATTTCTGTGATTCCCGTTGGGTCACCACGTGTCAGGTAGCACTTGCTACAGTGTTTTCTTCAAGGTGTTTTTGCATTTACATCACTAGCCACCATTTTGGTTCATATAGTGCCTTTTTCATGCTTGATTTCTATGTTTTGGTTTTTGAGTCCTCAGACTCAGCGGCAAAGTCTGATCTATAGAACAAGTTCCAGGATAGCTAGGATTACACAGAGAAACCCTATCTTGAAACCCCGTACCCAAATAATTTAAAGTATTTAATGCAAAATAGTTTCATCTTTCATAAAGTGGTATTTACATCATTTAAGATCCAACAATTAATAGTCTTATAAAGAAAGAATTATTATTTTAATTGTGTGCTATGCTTGGAGGCCAGAAGAGGGTGTCAGATCCCCTGAAGCTAGAGTTATAGGTGGCGTGAACTGCCTGACATGGATGCTGGAAACTGGACTCCCAAGGTCCTCTGCAAGAACAGTGTGATGACGACACACACTGCCTATAGCTGTGAGCACTCTCCATCCCGAATATGTGATAACCTTCATCTGTGAGAAGTAGAATTTAAATGTGCTTGAGTTTATCACAGCCCGTAGTAGCTTGATTTTATTTATTTTTTTCTTTTTTACAGAGAGATGATTTGAGGGTATGGAAAATAGCTTAGTGGTAGAGCTCCCGCTTGGCATGCACAGGCCCTGTGTTGAGTCCCCAGTACCACAGTCTCCCTCTACCCTACACACACACACACACACACACACACACACACACACACACACACTCACACACACACACTCTCTCACACTCACACTCGCACACACTCACACACATACTCTCACTCACACACACTCACACACACTCACACACTCACACACACACTCACACTCACACACTCACGGATTCTCTTTTTGTTTTTGATATTGTAAGGTTTAGAACAGAACTGCGTGTCAGCAGAGGGAAGGAGAACAGTTATTAGAGTCTCTGGTTGCTGTACTCCATGTGAACACGCTTTGTGTTTGGATAAGTAAAATCATTTTACCAAGCAAATGTAGTTTTTGTATTGAAGTGTCATTTTAATTTTACCTAATTTTTTTTAAACTAGGCAATATTCATGATTCCTACTAACCCTCCCCCCACATTCCGTAAGCCAGAGCTGTGGTCGGACAACTTCATGGATTTTGTGAAGCAGTGTCTGGTAAAAAGCCCGGAGCAGAGAGCCACGGCCACCCAGCTCCTACAGGTATGAGCCACGTCTCCACGCTGCTCACACACCGCTAACTTGCTTGCTTGGAAGCAATCATGAGGAATAAGACATTCTGTGCTGTGAGAGAGGTTCAAAGCTATTGAGATGGAAGGTCATAGAAAGTACTTAATTCACAGAACAGAGCAGTAGTGGAAGGAAGTACATCACCCCTCAGTTTAGATTTAAGAGCAGTAAGAAGCTCAGAAACACTTGTACCAGCAGGCAGAGGAGTGGGTGGGAATAACTCAAGTCTGGTGTCAAGCCGTGTGTGCGTGTCTCTGGTAAGAGTGGAAGGAAATGGTCTAACTGCTGTGTAAGTACAGAGAACAGGGTGATGTGTTACTCTTGCTACCAGCCTAGCTCTTAAGTGTATTGCTGAATGTGTCTGGAGGAAATGGTGCAGAGGGCTGTGGAAGAGGCTTCTGCTCTGCAGTCTCCACATGCTGAAGCACCTCTCAGTTTTAGAGTACTTAACAGAGGCTTGGAGGCATCGGCTCTGTTGGTGATGGGGGCAGGGATGTACTATCCCTGTAAGGAGGAAACATGGGGTACTGTCAGAATAAGTTTGGATATATAGGTAACTCCTGCAAAGAATTTCCATATGTAGCTGTAACTACCAGGGATTGTTGCTTCACCAAGACAGGAGGACATAAGATGGGGCAGATAGATGTCTTGGAGTGTAAAGGTGCCTGCCTCAGGCCTGCAGCCTGGATTCAGACATTGGGACTGAGGTAGTGGAGACAGACTCTCTTAATAAAATAAACACAAAAGAACTTCTGGATGAGAGAGAGAGAAATGGCACAGGTCCCAATGGTCATCTGTCTTCTTAGAGTAAGCGTGGCTTTGTGCCCAAGGTTTGAAGAAGAAAATTAGACCCACTGATTTATATGACAAATATTGTCAGATTTCTGTTACATGCCTTGTACTGTTTTAAAGTAAAAATTGTAGCTGGACAGCAGTGGTGGAGGTACACACCTTTAATCCTAGCGCTTGGGAGGCAGGTGGATATCCAAGTTCAAGGCCAGCCTGGTCTGCAGAGCGAGTTTCAGTACAACTAGGGCTACACAGAGAAACCCTGTGTCCAGAAACCAAACCAAACCAAACCGTGTCCATTGCTGTCCACTTTGTTATTTAAGCACCCATTTGTTAAGAGTGCCAAAGGAGTGTCGATACTGCGAGACTTAATTAACGAAGCCATGGACGTGAAACTGAAGCGCCAGGAAGCCCAGCAGCGGGAAGTGGACCAGGACGACGACGAGAACTCAGTGAGTGGCGGCTCTGTGGTGGGTCAGGGGTACTTGCTTCTTAGGTCTCGCTTGCCACAAAAGCTTGGTAAGTAGCTGGTGTAGTCAGTACCTTGTCCTGGATGGAGCTCATTCAGTGCTGCTGGATTCTGTTCCTGGGTCTATGCTTGCTCTTTGCTCACAGTTTTCTTCAAACACTGACATTTTATTATTTTGCCCCATATGCTATATCCAGTTTATCTGTCTGTTAAAGAGATAGTGAGAGAGGCAGAGACAGAGTCGTCCCCTAGTTTGGAGACTTGGCTTATGCTAAAGTTCTCATGCTGTCTTCTGGAGTCACCGGCAACATTGAGATTCCAAGGGTGCTTTTGTCCAGATCTGGGCTGGAAGTCAAGTGAGAAGGGAGAAGGAGGAAGCTCCTTTAGGTGAGCTATGCAGTTGTCACGTGGGTGACTTTGTGATCATCCCTGGTTAGACAAGTGCTTATCAGCTTCTAAGGTCTGTATACAACCTGGGGAGGTGTCAGATCCAGGTCTGTTTACACCAAGATGAGTGACAGTAATTCAGAAAATTCAGTCTTTTATTGCATTAGCTCTAGTTTGAGATTCTGCTCCTTTGCAGGAGGAGGATGAAATGGATTCTGGCACGATGGTTAGAGCCACCGGTGATGACATGGGCACTGTCCGAGTAGCCAGCACGATGAGTGGCGGAGCCAGTACTATGATTGAGCACGGCGACACATTGCCGTCCCAGCTGGGCACCATGGTGATCAACACGGAGGACGAGGAAGAGGAAGGAACCATGAAAAGTGAGGCTCTGACGAGACACTAACGATTCAGAGACGGGGTCTCATAGCCCCTGCTGTCTTAGTCTTGGATCTGCGGTTCTGTTGCCATAGCTGAGTTCCTCAGAGGAAGAGAGATGCTCAGTAGGAACTTCGGTTGGAGGGCTGTGAGGAACAGGGGCCTGGGGAGGAGGAAAGCTGGCAGTAGGCTGTGGGGGGGAGTTTGCTTTTGAACCCCAGTGGCTCTCCTCTCTTTGACTGCTCTCACTGGAGGGTTCCCCGGGAGGAGGGCATATTCACTGTTGTGATACAGGATTCATCTCACAGTGTAATGAGATGTGCAGTGCTGTACCCATCTTCAGTACATTTCATAAGAGTGTCTGTTTAATCCAGGTCACTGACAGCCAGTCAAAGATAATTGAGCAGATTTAAAAGTTCTGTGAAGTCTTCAGAAAAATCCTTCCTTTTTCCTCTTCCTCTCTCCTTATCTTCTTCCCTCCGTGCTGTGTTTTTTCTTTTCCCTCTTTTCCTTCCTCCCTTCACTCTCCCTTACTTTCTTTGCTGGGAATTAAATCCCTGAGCCTCACACATGCTAGGTAAGCACTGTGCCAGTGAGCTCTACCCTTAGCCAATGCTTCTGCCTTTTGAGACAGATTCTTTTTATGTTGCCCAGGCTTATCTCTAACTTGTGGGCTTAAGCTGTTGCCTATGGTCAGAGTCTATACCTAGTGTTTCCAGGTTTTGTCATTGTTTTGAGGAAAGAAAGAAAAGCCCACATTGTTTGCAGAGTAGCAAAGCAACTTTATTTTGGCAAAGCACAGGTCAGAATACAGTGCAAGAGAGCAGTAGGCCGCAGGAGGGTATAGTTACTGCTTGAACCTTCTTTTTGTGAGAGTCTAGTGGAGGGAGGGAGGGAGGGACTGGTTTCTAAGGGAAGTAGTTTGGTTGGCTCTTCTGTTGCTTGATAGTTTAGTATATATGATCACTTCCCCACTGTACATGTCTCTTTCTATAAGCTGACTTACAGGGGAGTTCTGCTCTCCTAAAGTTCATTTAAGAACACACTTCACCTGGTTGTACATGAATCTAAAGCTAGTTCCTGCCAGATCTGCCTTTCCTGTCTTGTGCCTAGACATGGGAAGAATGTGTCTGCATAGTGTTTAAGTTTTTGATGGCCGTCAAGGGGTGGTGTGTACCCTGGTCAGATGGAGTTCCTAAATTGCTAACAGGTTACTAGGTGCATTTTACAGAGACTAGTAAGGATGGAAAAAGACCTGCCTAGGTCTTCAAGTAACACAAAATGGACCCCCAGGTTGTTAAACTATTCCTAGTGCTTGCCTGCCTCAAGTGGTTGGTTCCCTTGCCTCAGCCTCCAGTTGCTCCACGCCCAGGTGTGTGCTGAGGACCTGGGTTCTTTCCCTCTTTCCTGGCTGACCTGGGACTGGTGCCATTCCTTGAGTTGGCTTAGCATCCCACACTCGGCTCTTTAGTGATTGCCTTTCCTCTTAATTTGAGGTTCAGGCCAACTCACAGAGGGAATAATTGGGGGGCACAAAGTAATAACTGAGGTGTAGAGGTTCAGTTTAGCCTAACCTTGGTATCCATTGAAAAGCTTGGGTTTCCTTGGTTATCAGTTTTTTTTTTTTCCTTCCCTCTCTTAACTCCTTACCCCCATGCTAGGCATCAGATCAGGGCTTCACATGTATTAGTCTGCTGCTGAGCTATACCTATAATATTTATGGCTTTTCTTCTAATCCAGGGATCAGCAAACCAGTGTCTAGGCCAAGCTAGACCGCCACCTACTTTGGGCAGTAAGGCTCAACTGGAACATGGCCAGAGCTATTCCTTCGTTGCTTTTGGCTGCCTCTGTACTAAAAAGGCTGAGCTGAGTACCTGTTAAAAATGTGCCTCTAAGGTCTAAAGTATTTTCTGTCTGTTCCTTTACAGATAGAAAGTTTGTTGTCTGGTAGAACACTTGTGAAGAGCTGGGTTTGATCCCAGGGAGGGGCCACAACTAAAGGGAAGGGAAAAAGGTGATGAAGGAGCCCTGGGGCTTGAAACCTAAGCAAAAGTGTCTTACTGGAATGACTTACGCATAGGGTCTAGATAGTCCAGTGGTGGCTGGCTGCAGACTGGAAAGGCTGAGAACCTGCAGGCTGCTCAGGCCATAAAACTGGATGTCTTGGCAGTCCCAGTCTGGCTCTGAGGGCCTGGAAGATTCCCAGAGTCACTACCCTTTAGTCCATGATGGCCGACCAAGAATCTGCAGTCTAATGCCAGCGATGGATGCCAGTGATAGTGGCTGTGGCAGCAACAAGGATGAGTGTGCCAGCAAGAAGCAGAGTCAGGCTGACAAGCAAGACTTGTTTTTTTTGTTTGTTTGTTTTGTTTTGTTTTTGCCTAAGAGCCCTCTGTATCTGGGCTGTCTGTCAGATCCACTCTTAGGGAGAGATTTCTCTTATTCGGTCCTTTTCGTAAATGCCATCACAGACTGATTTCAGTTGTATCTCTGACTTGGTCCCAGGTATCATCAAATGCAGGGAAGGACATGACTTCTAATATTGGTGTAGGCTGAGGGTGTTGCTGAAGTATAGTAGAAGGGTATTTAACGTGTGTTGGGGTACCTTATAGAAAGACGGCAAGCTTGGCGGCATGAAGGTAGGTGGAGATATTCCAGCAGAGGGGCTTCTTGTATCTGTGGACATTGGCAGGGCAATGTTGTCACGTGTCTCTATTCTCCGCCTTCCAGATCGTGGTTTGTGTGGTAATCACTAACCACTTGTTTTAAGGGCAAAATTCCAGATCGTGGTTTGTGTGGTAATCACTAACCACTTGTTTTAAGGGCAAAATAGTTCCCTTTGTCTGTTTTGGGCTCAGATTCATTATCTCTGAGATTGAAAGGAATGGTAATGTTACATTGGTAGATTCATAAATTGATAAAACTTCTGGAATACATTCTTTATCAGTCATTTAAAAAGTTCAGCTCTGGGGCTGGAGAGATGGCTCCACAGTTAAGAACATTGCCCTTCTCTCGAGGACCTTAGCTCAGTCCCTAGCACCCATGTCAGGTGGTTCATGAGCGCTTGTACGTAACTCCAGCCTCATGGGCTCCAGTCCCCTCTGAGACTTTGAAGACACCTCCTCTCACACATGAAGTCCCTCCTTGTTGTGTATACGTGATTAAAAACAAATCCTGAAGGAAAAAGTCAAACCTGTGGCCTGGTAACTTCATCTACTAGGAGCTAGGCCCAAGGAAATAAAGATAACATTTATGAATTTTTCCTAGACATGCTATTGTAGATGCACTATTGTATATACAAAAATATCAGATACAGTCCAGCCCTAATTAAATCTGAAGGAGAATGGACATTAACTAACCATTACTTGTGTAAAAATACATTAGTAATTCTTGTTAGTTGTTTATAGAGCCCGTGTAGAGCAGACTCTCTGTTACTGTTGAATGAGGGCTCTAAACTCTGTCAGTATTGGGCTTGTTGTACTTCCACTGTGCCAGCAGAGGGAGCTCTCTGATAAGCTATGAATTGAAATTGTGCTCCTAGTCAAGCTCACTGATACACCCTTTCTATGATAGCATTTATTTTGGATCAAGACTATTATTTATATATATTTAAGTTTTATTTTATCTTATTTTATGCGTTTGGGTGTTTTGCCCATATGTATGTCTATGTACACATAATTAAAAACAAATCCTAAAAGAAAAGGTCAAACCTGTGGCCTGGTAAATTCTTCTTCTAGGAGCTAGTGCCTGCAGGGACCAAAAGAAGTTATTGAATCTCTTGGGACCAGAGCTACTATGAGCTGTAGGTGCTGAGAGTTGGACCTTGGTCCTCAGGAAGAACAACTGTGCTGTTAACTGCCCAGCCATCTCCACCCTCACCTTGAAGGCCATCTGGAGTTACCGCAGCAGCACTGGGGCACGGCCTTCATTTCGGGACTGAGGAGGTTGGATACTTGGCAGAGCTGAAGTACTTTGGCATGGCCTCTTCCTCTCAGGGCTCTGGTAGACTTTAGTTGGAATTGCTTTTGTCATTCTTGAGCACAGTGCCACACACAGCTTTTTAAATGTCACCAGTTAAGTGCTCCCAACCAAATGATGGAGTAGCACTTCAGAACAAAACAACTCATGAGCAGAACTGATTTGGGGAAAGCTATACTATGTAGAAAAATAAGTGCTAAAGATGCTTCATAACCATCTGTTGCTTGGTATGCCCTCATTTTAGTTTTGGGAGTGCCGGGGACTGGGGGGCCTTAGGCTTCCCACAGGGCTGGTGTACACTTCTCAGCTTCAGGGCACCTCATTTTAATCTTGTGTATTTTTATGCAGAAAGAGTTATCTGAATAGCCTTTTACTGATCTGCAGAATTTCTGGGTGTTTCAGGTCCTGACTTTTGGTGTGTGGTTTGTGCTTTCCAGGTGTTTAAGCCTGGCTCGTGATGTGTGCCCTGACTGCTGCAGTCATTCTTAGCAGCCAGCCTTCTCATGACATCAGGCTGTTCCAGATTTTCTTAGACAGTATTACTTTTCTGTTCTTCAAGAAATTTTGGTAGGTGGTGATGGTGCACCCCTTTAGCACTAGAGAGGCAGAGGCAGGTGGACTCTATGAGTTCAAGGCCTGGTCTACAGAACAGGTTTCAGGACAGGCAGGGCTACATAGAGAGACACTATATATGGTTTGTCTTGAAAAACCAAAAGAAACAAAAAAGAAGAAAGAAGTTTCTTTTTACCTAGATACCTTGAAAGTAGTCAGTTTTTAAAGAGTTGTAAAGTCTTACTGTTCACAGATGTGTTTTAATATATCATGGATTTTTGTTTGTACTATGAGCTGTCGTTACAGTCACCTGTATGGTCAGTCACCTTTTCATGTATTCCGTGACCACTTATCCAAAATAGATTCCTTGCCCCTTCCTTTTTTTTTCAATACAGATTGCTATTTGAAATTTCTGTTACAATGATCTCCTATCAGTTTCAGGACCAGTGTATCCAGTTTTGCATTATACCAGTGG